GAGTTCCAAAGATTGTTCATTTGTGAGCAATGGATGGAGGCTCAAATCCTTTGTCTTGTAGTTTCATAAATGGATATAAAAATTAATCAGGACTCAGATCAGGACTGAGGTTCTCAATGGTAAGATGTGCTCATGTAGAGCATCTGCTCATTGTCTGTGCCACTGCAGTACCTCTTCAACCTTGATTCAGCTTTGCAGACTCTTTTCTCTTGGGGGACAGCAAGAAATGACAATCTGATCTGGCAAGGCTTGCTTGGCTTCCAAGTTCATCTCTTTGTGGGTAGATTGATGTGATAGCAGCAAACACCATTTTCTTATTTGTCCTCATTGACACTGAAAGTTCTGCCTTGGAGGGAGGAGTTCTCAGCAATTTTACGTCTCAAAATTCTGCACTTTTCTGCAGTTCACAGTGGGCAGAATTCTCTTTCAACTCATTGCTTTCCACAGGGTATAACTTTATCCTATAAATCTCCTTTCAGATAGGATTTTATGTTCTAGGTTTTAGCTCATAGGTGTTTCTTAGGCTTACAGTGCTGGTATGAGCTTGTCAAATCTGTTCAGATACATCTGTTTTTACTTTGAAGTTTGCTGGGTTTACTGTTTTCCCACTGCAAAAAATACATATTTCCCTCTCACATAATTGTGTGGAGAAAACAGTTCTTGTTAAGAACTGCACTTATATTTAATTCTGCAGATGTAATGAATTCTTAACTTTTGGGGGGAAAAAGTTTAAAAGAAAATATATTAGCCTCAAGGCATTTAAAGATAGAAATTTAGGACTTGTACTATACATTTTATGTATGCATTTTTAAGACTTCATTTAGGCAGAGCAGCTTAAAAAGTCTCATCATCTCTGGTGCACTTTATCTTTATGGCAGCCATCACCTACAATATTATGCTGCATTGAGCAAAAATCTCAGGGTCACTACAAAAAAATCCTTATTTTATTTTTATTTTTTTTTTGAAATGACGGGAACATGTTTTTCTTTTGAAAAATACTTTGATCACATCTGATGATCCAGGTGCCTGCAGCTCAGTTAATTGATCAGCAGTTTCCTCAAAGCACCTGGTGTCAAGTTTAGTCTGTCACTTATTATTCATCCAGAAGTCTTGGACATAGAGCAGCAACACAGTAAAATAAACCAATACTGGCAGCATATTTTTTGTCTGTGTATCTACAGCTCCACAAGGCTTTTACAAGTAACAAAACATCTCCAAAAAGTGTGTCTTAACCAATATTTTTATTCTGGGAATTAGTTCTAGTGGTCTAATCATAAGTGCTAATACTGGTATTGCCTGTCTTCTGCAGCATTTGTTTTATGCCAATGAGTTTCTAACGCATGAAACAAGCAGAGAGCCCAGTCTTCAGTTGATTCTGCATGAAGTAATTGTAATTCCACTGGGAATACATATCAATTGTTGTGTTCGTCTAGCAGGCGTAAATATGGGCATTAAATATTTTGGCTGGTAACACAGGTTTAAAAGACAACATTTTTCTTTAGGTTGACGGAAAATACATTTACTTAAATCAATTGGTTTACATGTACTTGTCAATTATAGCAATCACACAGTGGATGTATTTATGTACAAATTGAAGTTGTGCTCCTCTAACAGTAAGTGAGGGACATTGGCTTTTTCTGCTTTACTGGCTTTATCTTTAATCACACTTACAAAGAGCCTTTAATGGCTTGTGAGATCCAATAACTGAGGTGGTGAGGTTAATGGGGCATCTTGTTATGCTGCACATTTTTGTTGCAAATAATTTTGTATATTAAATGCATGAAATCTTTGCCATAGGAAAGTGAGACAAGAATTTGAGTGGCTAAAGGAGATGGGTCCAGCTGACAGCTGGTTGCACAAAGAACAATGACAACAGCTGCCTTTACAGAATGACACAACTGTAAGGTACAGCCAGCATCTGAAAAGTAGCAGTGAGTGATTTTGTCTTGCAAAGGCAATTTGAGGGATTTAAACTAATAGTTTTTAAAACCTACCCTTGTGATAATCTTACTTCACCCTGTAAAAAGTAGGAGATAATTCATCTCCATCCAGTATTGTTTATGCATGTGTCCATTGCCACCATGCTGAAATCTTTTGACCACTTCTCTAGCCATGGATGTGCTGAGCATCACCTCCACTTTCAGTGCAGAAATACAGCAGAGATATTTTTTATACAGAGTAAGAACTGCAGCTGGGACCACTCCCTGTTAGGATAATTTCTGAGATAGATTTTTTGGCTAAGTGGTCCAAAACATCCAACATTGCACTGCAAGAAATCCTTAGGACACGTAGTACTCCACATTTTCTGTTCCAAAGAAATGCTGCCAGCTAAGGGGTTACCTTACTCTCACAGCCAGGCCAACTCTGTCCTTCCCTCCCTGCCACCTGTATGCTTGTCTGTTTATTGCAAGCACTTGATTTAAACCCCAGATCTGCTCTCTCTGCCCTATGATGCTTAGAGAATTGAACAAACTGTGCTGCTCATAAAGCAACATGTACTGTGCTTTTGTGCAGTACTGATTGTCAATAAAATGTAATTTAGCTAAAATAAAAATACCGATTGTCAATGAAGTGCAATTTAGCTAAAACAAAATGCACATTTCTCAGTAAAAGCTTCCATGGCAATAAATGAAAACAGAAAATACTGATAATATTAAAATTGCAAGTTTAATTTTTTTTAACTATCCAAACCGTCATGTTCAAACTTTCAAACAGAATAGTGGTGTCAGGAGCAGGCATTTCTAAAGTTGTTACCAGCTGACACCTGTGTTAAAGTATATAAGTTAAACATATTTCTGTGCTTCTTGCTACTCTGCTTCTACCAAACATGTTTTCCTACACACACCAAAGTTTCTGCACTAAATCTGGTGGGAAAGGGTTGCCACAGAAGACCCTCCTGTGTATATTGAGTACCTTTTTCTGCCCTGTAGGCAGAAATGTGTCTGTCAACAGCCAAGTCATCCACTCTTGTAGCTTAAGCAATTCCCTGGGATATTATGAAACTTACCTTAAAAAATAAAGGCAGAACTAAATGCAGCATGTAATCTTGTAGATTAAGACTGGAAGAAAAATGGTTCCATAGAATGTACAGGAAACATTTAGGGGAGCAGAACAGACCTTTCAGGATTGTTAAAAAAGGAAAGAAAATCTGATCAAATTTTCCTATTTTTCATTAGCATTTTGAATTTCCAACAACCTCCAGGGTGTTTGTTTTGTACTTTATCAGTTGCCATATACAGAGCTATGGAAATAACAGGAAGTTTGGGGTTTGGTGGAACTCCTAGAGTTAGCCCAAATCCACAAGTGTGCAATGTATATAGAGAGAAGCTGTTCACACAGTCTTAAAGCTGCTTAACAGCTTAAAATGATAAAAAGTCCTTAACACAATTTAAGAACTTAAACCACTTAAACTGTTTGAAGCAGCTTGTGAGCTCGAAGAGTTTGGGGCAGGGGCTGTGCTGAGAGGAGCCCCTGGAGCTGCAGCCTGGGCTCCCACAGCAGGAGTGCCAGAGAAGGGCACCTTGTGCACCTCAACCTGGGAGGCTTGGGGGTGATGTGGAGGAGGAGAAGGAAGAGCTCTCTGTGTGTTTTTATGGGGCATTGTGTGTATGCCCAGATTGCTTTGCTTTAAATAGTGTAGCAGGGAATCTTACAGGCATGTGAGGTGACAGCAGTGCCATCTCCCCACTGAAACAGGGAAGAGGGTGGCAGAAAAATATTGTCTATGACAAGTCTTCAACTGTGGGAAACAGCTTTGGCTCATGGGCCAAGGGAAGGCTCCTCAGAAGCATTGTGAAGAAATCTGTGCAAGCTGCAAGCCAAAATGTTCTGCTTTTGTGGCTCCAGGAGCTGGAGGTTTGGGGAAGATGGCCTTTCAGATCTATTGATCAGGAAGTTTTCGTTTCTGGAAGATTGTTTTTGGGAAAAAGAAATGGGGTGAGGCAGGGAGGGTTGCTTTAGTTTAATTGATGTCAAGCAATGTTGGTTGGTTATATCAGACGCATGTTAATAATAGGTGAAACCACACATTTAATAAAGCATTTTAAAGAAGAGAAAACATTATATAAGAGCTTCAGTTTGGTCCCTGCTGGTGTGTGTAGTCATCAGTGGTCAAATGTGTGTTTGTATGCTCAGATGGTGGCACAGCACAGAGGTGATACTTGAGGGCAGAGGAAGAAGGCACAGGAATGGGAATGAACCTCTGGAAGAGCTAAAAAAAAACTAGCCAGGATCCTGCTTCTGATGGCAATGATGTCACCTTAAATGTTTTGAAGCTTGGGCTGGTTTTCCTTGATGCAGGCAGTGATTTACACCTTTCAGTGCAGAAAAGGCTGTAAAACAGGAGTGAATTACATTCTGTACAATTTGAAAATAAATTGTGCATTCACAGCCACTCGGGGTGAGGTCCATTTACACTTCCAGAGTTGTATATGATGAGTAAATGAAAGTTAGGCCTCTGTGTGAATGAAAAATGCCTGTTTTACTAGAGGCTGTGAAAAGAGAAAGTGAGAGAGACTTAGTGGAAATTGGAAGCAAGATTTTATTTGTTTGTTTAAAACACTCATATTGATTTGGAGTGAGATGGAACACTGGTATAACTGCAAGCTAATTCCACTGAATTCTGCAAGGTATTTCTGTGAAGTTGATGGGGCTGGAAGTTTATATTTATATTTATAATCTGAGTTTTTCCTGTGTTCAGGTAAGTCTTTATCACATTATATTCTTGTGCAATCTTGGTGGCATATTTAACATGAAAGTTATCTCTCAAAAAAAAAATCTTCACTGGGGTGAAAAAGAGCTTGGGTGTAGTTAAAATCATATGAGCTCAGTACAATTAAATAATTATTTGGCTTTCCTTTATGATGAGGAATGAAATATAGAAATGTTATTTGGTGAGGGTGCTTTCTGATGGTGACAGACATTGAAAGAAACCATTTAATTAATGAAATCTCTCTAATGTACAACACAGTACTAATTTCTCAATATCGCTTCAATTTCAGAACATTTCAGGATCTGTCCAAACAAATGGATATATCTTATGGCACAGTCAGGGACTCAGCAGTGTATGAATACTTTAAAGCAAAAGGGACCAACCCTTTGGAGCAGGATAACACATTTGCTGAACTGTGGAGGACTATCAGTAAGAATAATGGGGCAGATAATTGTGTATCAAACCCTTCTGAAGGCATCAGGAAGGTAAGACTGGATCACAGGGGATTTCATTTCATTTCTGTATCAATGTTGTTTCCATGAAGTTAATGTTAAGTCAAAGGAAAGAAATTACAGTCATTTAACCCGCCCCTAAATACCTATATAAAGTTCCTTTTAGTACCTTGATGGCAGATAAGAATCATAGTTTGGTGTCCCTCTTCTGAATTTAAGTACTTTAGCTCTGCAGAAGTTTTCAGTATGTAAGTCCTTTGGATCTAAAGTTTCTCAGTTTCGGGGAGCTGCTTTTTTGGATATAATTCTTTACATTATGCAGTACTGACTTCTGTCCTTTGCTCATTTGAGTTTGTTTTCTTTTTTCTGAGTTCAAGATTGGAAACATGAGTAAGAATTAAGGGATCCACAGAATGAATGCTCATTTCTTTTAAAACAGAAATTTAATGCAAGATTTTTCTTTGTTTCTTCCAGACTTTGAAAAATGCATTCACATGACACTGTGTTTTACCAAAATGTTATTTCCCTCAGATAAAGCTACACATTTTCTGTGGAGCAGAGAATTAATGTGGCATTCAAGGAATGATGTCTAACAGCTTGGGATGCTGCATCTTTGTTCTATTTCCTGTGATAATGAGTATTGGCCATTGCAAATACCCACTCTCTCTTGTAGCCTGCCTCTCCCCTCTGTTCCCCATCTTGAATCTCAGCAAAATCAGGTAGCACCTCACATCAAACACATCCACTACATTACACAGAAGGGATGCATGCTGAAAGCCTTGATGTGCTGCTCCTTTAATGAAAAGTGTCCTCTTCATCTGTCTATTGATTTTTTTCCCTAAAACAAGTTAACAGTTTTTATTACCATAGTGAATGTTTGATCAGAGATACTCTTGTCAGTGAAACAGTGATTTACTAGTTCTTTATGCTTTTGTACATGGGGCATGATAAAATGGTTTTGGCTTGTATTTCCTTTTTATTTTTTGACCTTTTCTGAACAGAGGGACAGTATCCAAATTCTACTGTTTTTACAGTGCCATGAAGAGGGTGAACACAAGAAATGCAAGCCATCCCATTTCACAATTCAAACTCCTTTAGCAAAAGGTTTCCAATTCTTTACTCGACTTTTGGACAAAATCTTTATGCAGACACTTCTTGTCTTAGCACACAAGTATTCAGTCAATTTGGGTACTCCCTGCCCACCCCTCAGATGAGCTTCCCCAAATCCATCTGCCCTCAGCTCCAAAATCCTCTCTTCCTTGGGGATGAGGTAGAGCTCTGGCAATAGCAAAGTCTGCAGTGATTGTTAGCTTTTTTTTTTCCTTAATCTTCTCAGCATTTTATGAAAATGAGCCCTCTTTTGATGTATTTTGGTAGCATTTAGAGGAGAAATAGAGACATTAAATACTTTTCTATGTATCCTAGCATTTAAGCCAATAATAAAACAGTTTAACTTAGAAAAATATTCAGTATTTTACTATTCTTTTTTCTAACATTCTTATGGCAGTGGATGCTTTTTATCCATGAAATTGTAAATACTCTTATGCTGTAAGCCTAGTGCATGCTGCCATTTATGATAGCTACATTTGCTAAGCCAGAAATGTAACTCTAGATTGGCAGGCAGTTGAGAATACCAATTATATTGTCTGTATGGAGCTGGCAGCTCCATCCTATCTATGGGATAATAACTTTTCATACTAAGTTTGATTTCAGTGTTGTAGGGTGATTTTTATATAACTAGATCAGCTCATTCCATTAATGTCAACAACAACTAAATTTTACTTCAGTCCCCAAAGATGACCGAGGCCGCTATTTGATTAGACACCTACATAAATTGGCTTTAATATTTAATAACATTGTCAACTAAACTATTGTGTTTATAGTTTAAGTGTCACTCTTCCTAGCTCATTGAACTCTCTGAATAAACAGACAAGTTTTCTATGTCAAATATTATGGCTAGAAATTCTGGGTTTTTTTTTTTTTTTTAAAGGAGAATTGATGTCAGCCAAGGAAATGAGAGTTTCCATCCATAAACACATACTGCTGTATGAAAGAGATGTAAATATGCCTTATAAATGTGTTTCATAGGAAATGGGAGCTCTAAATCTCTCTAGCATAAAAAGATTCATAAAGCATTTTTCTGAATGAGGACTTGCCTGACACAATGCAAAAAAAAAAAAAAAAAAATCAGTACTATCCTTTCTTCCCTCCTTCTCCTTTCCATTATCTTCAGACAGTATCACAGTTCAACTGCAGTTACAAACAAAGCCATGCCACTTCAGTGCAAAACACGGAGGGCTGGTTATTTGTGCCACAGACAGGTATTTCAGGTGTTTGTTCCTATCCCATTTATCTTTCTCCATTTCAGGGAGATTTTCCTACTCCCTTTGACTGTCTGAAAACATTTAAAGTTTTCAAAGTCATGTGAGCTTTCATGGCGTTTGGTTGCCATGGCAGAGATGTCTCTTCAGACACAGCAGAGTCTCCCTGCAGCCACAGTGACCATCTCCCATGGGCAAGGCACAGCTTTTGCAGCACTGGGAGGGCCAAGAAAAGGCAGGAATGCACTTCGCTGTCACATAAGAGACAGGAGGACTCCTGAAAGCTGAGGGTGGTGGGGAGAAGGTTGCTTTTGCTGTATTCCCAAGATAGTTGAAAGTGATCATTGAAGATGGAAAGTCTCCTCCTATTTAGCAATGCCTCTGCAGAGCACAGGAGCAGAAACCACACAAACCACCAGTCCATACAAGATGCTGTTTTGCCGCATTGAGCTGTCTGGGACTATCATAGATGAGGATTGACTAATGCTGGCACAGGAAAGTTTCTACAGCCAAAGTCTTAGTGATTGCTCTGCTTTACATCCACTGGCAATCAGGGTAATTACTGATTGCACTAACACAGTGTGGATTTTATTTCCTTTGGGAACACTCATTTTTGCTTTGAAAGAATGAAGTAATATCATCCCCATGTGATCCTGCTTCTGCAATATATACAGATGGGAGAATTAAGCTCATTATTGCGTTTTATAACACCCTGCTTTGGTTGAGATTGTTCCCCTGTCCAATTAATTTAATGCCAAAACTTCTCTGAATTGTTTCTTTTTTTCCTATCACTTTTGATGAAAAGTGATCAAAACTAAGTAGAGCACAAAATGAAGATGCATCATTGATTTAGGCAATAGCACAGTAAGAGTTTTTTCCTTTTCTTTTTTGCTTCCTTAATGATCACTGAGCATTAAATCAGAGTGATCTCTCTTCATTCTAATTTTGAGAGTAGAAGTAGCTTAAAAGTTCATTTAGTATGATTTTTTAAAAACGACTTTGTTCCCAATGAATTTAATATTGTGAATTGTGATTGCTCTCATAGAGCTTCATAAATTTCTCCATTTCTTGACCCATCAGCCTTTGAAGCAGAAGCAAATGCTTCCTTAAACCTGAATCTATTGAATCCTGTAGTGGTTCCTTAATTATTTTAATGCTTGAAACATTTCAACAGGGTCAAATGGCGTGTTTTTTTTTGTTTTTTTTTGTTTTTTTTTTTTTTATTAGAATTATGTTGCTTCTCTTAAAGGAGTTTTTTATAGTTAAATGTTACCCAACCATCTTTTTGAACTACTCCAGTAATGCCAATGTAAAGGTCATTTTTTGATATTTCTGTGATATCAGCCATGCAATGGGATCAGCTACACTGACACTCTGTTCTGGCAGTAAATTAATGATGAATTTTGCATTATTCTGGCACTTCTGTCTTAAATATGATAGCTTCTTCAAAAAATTCAGAAAAATTACAGATATATCAGTGATTACTCTGGAATCAATCTTTTATCATGCTGTTATTTCTTAGCATCTTTCTTTGAAACAACATTGTTTAACCATCAGTAAGCCAGGACCCTTTGAACAATATTCCTCTATCTCCATCCACCCTGAAGAGTGATATTATGGGGTTGTTTACTGCTTTCCTGGAGTACTATTTTCTCTGTGGCCCTTGTCTTGTCTAGGAAGACATCTTCTTTAGCCTTTTAACTTTTTAGGATTGTGAAGAATAAATATATTTTTTTAGTATAAGTTTTGCCCAGGGGGTTCTTTTTCTTAAATCTCTTAAACCAAGGATAAATCTGGTGTCCTTGGTGTAAGCCAAAGTAGTTGTTCTACCTCGATGGAATAAATGGGTGCTGCTTTGGCTGACTTCCTGATAAAGAGGTTTCTGAAAGTTTAACCAAGTGATTTTTAGTTTGTTGTGAGGCATGCCTGTATGCTGAGAGTCACAGTAAGGCCATAACAAAGGAGAAAAATAGGAAGTACAATGAGAAGACTGAAGTATAAATTTGAGCTCATTATTCTGTGTTTATTTCAGTCATTTTTTATTCAGCTGGCATTTGCACAGGCCCTTTTGCACTCTTCCTACATTCCTACATGAAGACATGGGGTCTTTCATTAAAAATAAAGTTTAAACTACATTTAAAATTTGAGGTTGATTTTTCATTGAAAATAAATGTCAATTTGATTTTATTTGGCTTTTACTGCTTGCCTAGTGAAGGTATATAAAAAGTCAGCCTATTTCAGACACACATACATGTTTGCACTTATGTATCTTGTACATATGTTTTTCAAAGTTTGACAGCTTTTCCTTAAATTGAACAAATGATACTGCTTAGCTGTCACAACAGATATTAACAGGGAAGTGAAGGATGCCGAATTTAGACAGCAACTAAACATTTTGTTATAAGAAAACTTTCCACACAATGAACACACACTAATAGTATGAGGTCTTCACTCTTCAGGGAAGAAAATTTCACAAGTGGAAGAAGTTTGGAAAGAACTTCTTAGTTCTTAGGAAAAAGGGATCTTTGGAGATTCTGGTTTTGGCAATCAGAGAGGGAGGGGACACAGCCTTGCACCCAGGATTTCTGGGAGTTGAGACATAAACACAACCAAGAGTTCAAAAGTTAGATTCCTGATTGTGCTAAAATGATCAGGCTGTCAGAGAAATAATGCTTTACAGATGTGATGACATTGGATAGGCTGATTTATGTCATTAAAAATATGTAAAATAGATTTGAAGAGTTCTGGCAGACTTGGTTTATTGACCATTTGCAGTTGCAGGATGTGATTTAGGATAGCAGCACTATAAACACAAGAGAAGTAGACCTTTACAAAAGATCTGCTGTACAGCATTGAAAGTCCGTGTACAAAGCCCTTGTATATAAGATAACATACAGAAAGCTGAGGAGTGAAAAGTAGACTCAATAATGTGGTTTTTTTCTTTAGTCAGTGCATTGTAATACAAGTCGAATATTTGAGGAATATTGCATTCCTCAAGTATTACTAAGACATAGATAAGGAATGTATTGTGTTGTCAGTGTTCTTTTCTGAATTGCAAATGTGGAAAGATGATTTGCTGACCAGTTCTGATAGAACAGAGAAGAAATACAGCTCTTTAAACTGAACAAATCACCAAAAGAACCCCAAAAACAACAACAAAAAAACCCTGAACCCCAAAACTCCAAAACAAAACAAAAAAACCACCCAAAAAACAAAAAATCAAACCAAACAACAACAAAAAAAGAAGACAAAAATTCAACCAACCAACTTAAAAATACCCAGAGAAATGTAAAACACATTTTACCTAATTCACATAGTGAATTAGGCTAGATCTTTCTGGGGTGTCCGATTTCTGTATATCCATCAGGCAGGACTTTTGTTCTCTAATATAATGGATTTTGAGTAAATTCTGTGTACAGTAACATGTGCTGCTGCTTTTGATCCCCTGAGGACATATTTTTAATTCTGACAGTTTCCTATAATAGGTGGCAAAATCATATGAATTATTATTTACCATGGAACACAATGTGGCCGAGTAATAAAAATATTTTCCAAGGGTTCAGTGTACAGACTCTTTCACATCTTACCAAAGAGAAAGGATATAACATTTCTACTCTGTTTTAACCTAGAAGCAAGTGAATTTGTGGATCTTTGATTGCCTCAATGCAGATAAAAGGGAATCAAGGAAAATAGGTGGATTGCAGCAAGTACCTTACAGAAAGTCTAGGCAACATAATTTTAATCTTTGCTTCCCTGAATTCTGCCTCCCAGAAGGTACCTTACCCATTTGATTTATTGTCATGTGTAAGCAACTGTAGAGACTTCAGAAAGGTATGGTTTATGAAGTAAATTATCTTATTTGCTCAACTGAGGAATCCAGTGTAATGAAATAACTGATGGAGTCTTAAAAACTTAAGGTGAATTCAAAACTGAGCTTAGAAAAGAATTGGAAGGATGAACTAGTTCTGTGGCAGAGCTGCAGCCATTTGCTAGGGGAGCTTTGTGAATCAATTCCCATAAAGAAATATATACAGGACTTCATCTACTTAAATATATTAGGCAACCAATGGTTACTTTAACCAACAAAATGATATTTTAATTTACTCTACTGAACCCCTATCCAGATATCTTTCTTACATCTTGTGTTAATTACATTCATTATATACACTGTGTGCAGGCCTTGGTTTCAGTTCCAATTAAAGCTGATATTTAAGGATATCTGCATGGATATGTGTTAAAGCAATATTTATCCCAAACCTGAAATAATAGTACATGCTTGTGAACCTTCTTACCTGTGAAGAAAAGAGGGAACTCTTTCAGCTCAGTGTGTGCCTTTTGTTACTGGACTAACATAGCTCTCAGAAGAGCTATGTTTACTTGCAAGGCAAATTTGTTTATTTACATGTTTATATGAGCAAAGCGGAAAAATTACAGTTTTGGTACCTGTGATGCTCATCACTTAATGCTCATAATATGCCAGTCTTGTCACTTAAATCTGTGGAACCAGTCACATTCCATGTCTCCTACAAAACATGCATCCAATTTCATCATCTAAAGCAATAGCTTTCATTTATAATTAATAACCTGTTACATAAGCTTCACCTACACTTCTAGATGGCTGAGCTATCCTATGTGCATACTAAAAAATGGAAGATATTTTAGCAAGGTTTGAAGTAGGTGAGGTCCTGCTGGGAGAGAAAACTGTTACAAATGTATTCTGTTGAAGGTCTACATATAAACTGTGACCTAATGAAATATCACCAAGGAATAGTGACAAGATTTGGATTTGTTTGCTGGCTTAGGTTTTGTTCTACCTAGAAATGCAGTTTAGTTTAGACTGTGTTGTGTTCATGCTGTATTTACAGGCAAAAAAGGGAAATTATGCTTTCCTGTGGGATGTGACAGTGGTGGAATATGCTGCACTGACAGATGATGAGTGCTCTGTGACAGTCATTGGAAACAGCATCAGCAGCAAAGGATATGGGATAGCACTCCAGCATGGAAGTCCCTACAGAGATCTTTTCTCCCAGAGGTAAACTGAAACAAAGCTCATTTTAATGCATTTCTGTCTATAGCCAGCGACTGTTCACATTAATTTTGGCATTTAATTAATAAAGAACAATGAACAGATGACAGCAGAGAGGTTACGAGTTCAGGCTCCAACAAAGTTGCTGCTCCTTCTGCTCCATGTGCATCTGGTTTGGGAGGGGGGGACTGGAGGTGATATGTGGCCTCGCACCTTCAGCCAGCACTGCCTCTGGCACAGGACTGATGTCCTCAGAGCTCGGTGAGAGGTAGAGGAGAGATTGAGGAGAGATCCTGAGCTCATGCCATGTTCTGCAGGCTCTGAAGCAGTGCATTGCTCCCTGCAGGAAGCAAGCAGCAATGCTCCGCCTTATCCTTTAGGGTTCAGGTCCAGGACTCAGGATGGTGCAGGGCAACAAGAATTACAGGGAATTGCATGGGACTGACAAGACCAGAAAACTATAAAATGATGCTGTTTAGTGATCTCTGAGCTACCAGCTGGGTGTGTCTTGTCCATGTGAATGTGTGCCCTGAGCTGAAGACACACAGCTGTGCAGGGATGTGTGCCCTTAGCAGAAGGTGAACCCATGCTCTGCTCCAGGCAGGGATCTGATGCGAGATTGCCTCATCTTGCTTCTCCTTCATAAAAAGGAGCAAAACTCCAGCTGCACAACTGGAGACAAAGCTGCCTCAAGAGAAAAGATTGTTAGTAAACAGCTAAAACAGTTGTCAAACCAAATCCAAAATGAATCATTCATGCAGAGACGGGACACTTCACAAGAGACAAAACAATGATTAATTAGCAACTGTTAACACAGTAATTCAGGCATTAAGTAACAGCATTGAAGTAAAATCCTTTTGAATAAACTACATTTACTAAAATAAATGAGTTGGTCGCTGCTTAAACAGATTTGTACTAAGTGGTGCACAAACAGTAGCATGTTTAGCCTCACATATTTTTGGAATTACTGTAGGAGAGCAGCAGTGGAGTGGGTTGAGCATTTCACTAGTGGGACCAGCTGCTGCAGCTGAATGTAGCCAGACCAGGCATAACTAACTGGAATGTGGTGATTTCCCCTGGAAATGCTGTTTGCATTGCAGTGCAATTTTTTACAGTCTCTTTTTTCCTTAAAGTTACCCAGTGGAGTTTACCTGCTGCTGTGAGTAGAAAGAAATCTTGGTATAAGGGAGTCTCAGCACTCTGGTGGTGGAGGGGGTTGGAGTTTTGAATTATGGGATGGTAGATTTAAGAGCTTTGAAGCATAAGGAAAAGACAAAAAAAAACCCTGTAAAAAATATCATTGTAAATAATACTTGTCTTTTAAAATTTCTGCAGGATCCTAGAGTTGCAAGAAAGTGGAGATTTGGATGTTCTTAAGCAGAAGTGGTGGCCACGGATGGGACGCTGTGACCTGAATAGCCATACCAATGCACAGACAGATGGGAAGGCACTCAAGCTGCACAGTTTTGCAGGAGTTTTCTGCATTTTAGCAATAGGCCTTCTTCTTGCTTGCTTGGTGGCAGCATTGGAGTTGTGGTGGAACAGCAACCGTTGTCATCAAGAAACACCGAAAGAGGTCCATAACTTTTATTCTTATCACAATTAAAAGTAGAGAACACAAAAGAAAGAGAGAGCAAGTGGAAGTTGTGGGATTTTAGGTGCTCTCACACAATAAATTTGATTTATTTTGATTTGCCATACTAAGCTTTGCATATAACGTTTTGGGTGGTTGTTTCTAAGAAAATAAAAACAAACAAACAAAAGTGTCTTTTGTGCACATGGAAGGTGCCAAACTGACAGCCCTGGAGACTAAAGTCCTCTATTTATTTGTAGAGCAGATACAGCATGGGCAGCAGCAGTGCAAACTTCCCCTCATTGCCCCACCAATGTGCCTCAGCCCTGACCTGGAGAGACCACCTTTAGGGGTAAGAGAGTGGTTCAGAAACACGCCCTCGGCCACTCTGCTGTGAGTGACGGGGAGGCCAGTCACAGGCACCCAGCTGTGCCATCTGTGGTGATGTTTTCTCTGATCTGAGCCCCATCCATTGGCTGGGAGATCCGAGTCCATCCTGCGCAGGCTCTGCAGCTGCCAGACGTCTGGTAGCCGCTCTCCTTCATGGCTGACCTAGGCTGAGTTTGAAGAGGTACACAAGCAATTAAAAATAAATCAGCTAGTTAATAATTGAATAAGCCATATTGCCATGACACTGTTTAAATGCTTCCTTTCTTTTGAAGTCAGTTTTATTTCTAAAAGTAGGAGCCTCTGAGGAAGCTGACCTTCATATAACATGTTTTATCTAGGAAATTATACCTGAGAAGTTCTTGGGTTTGAAGTTTCTATGCACAGCAGCCAGAAGAAGTTAGCAATGCTAAGAGAGAATAATCAGTCTATTCTCAGATCTGTCTTGCATGAAGTCTGTATTTGTTTACCTAGTTTAAATGTTTAACAAACTAACCTCTTGCAATTTTGGAGACACGTGAGGCATTTGTAGGTGCTTTCATCTTGGAACAGATGCATTTTACAAGCTAATAATAGCAGTGAGCTACACTGCAGCTGGGAAGTAGTACATAGCCCACCAATTCTAATCTCTCTTTTTCAAGTTGCAGGAGCAGCAGACTAACTGACATACCTGTCACCTGTAAACAATTTTGGCAAATTGGCCACCTGGTCTAATGGATGGTGTGCCTGCTTTTGGCAGAGGGGTTGGAGTTGGGTCCCTTCCAACCCAAGCAGTTCCATATGCTATGATTTTGCCCTGCTGCCTTGTAAAAGTTGCTCCTGCTGTAACTCCAAAGGCGCCCCCTTGCCAGTGTTGTGAAGGCCTAAAGCCAAGCAGAGCTTCACTGCACACTGTGCAATCCTGCAGGGAATGGGCAGGGATGGATACTTCCCAAAGTGTCTTCATGCTGTGTGCACAAGCACTTATCTGGCCATCCTGTGTGGTGTGTTCCCCTCTCTACACTCAGGGAATTGCCTTTGTAGAGTGAGGTGAGAATATGATTTAAAGGCAGTTTCATATATCTAAGGTGAAAAAAAATCATTTTTTTATTGCAAGGAGTTTTGAATACTCAGTTTCCATTGCTGGAAAAGAACATGTCTTCTCAAATTTAAATGTATTCTGTTTTTCACCCATCCCTTTCCTTTCTTTTTTAATACCTCTAAGAAGGATTATTGCATATCTATGCCTACCCCATCCCAGTTTTTCTCCCTTTCCCATCCTTCTCCTTCCCTTTGCCTCCAGTGTGTTCTTGATGAAGGTTGCTCTTGTACATGTGTAGTCCTCTTTGGCAGTTTGTTTGTCAAACATAGAATACTTTTAACCTTCTCTGTTTTAAAGTAAACTGAAGTTACTTCTACGGTAGAGCTGTGCTTGGGGAGGTTGCTGTCTGTGGGGCTGGGCTGCCCTTGGAGCACAACTAGGCTGGGTTAGAGGCAAATTAAACTTAAACAGAGCATGGACAGGTTCCAGCAAGATCAGTGATGGGGAGGCTGCCAGGAGAGGGGGAGCAGAGTCAGCAGGAGCCCTGGCACAGCAGGTGTGAAGGCTGAACGAGGAGGTGAGAGGGCACAGGGCTGGCTGGAGGAAGGTGTATGGAGGGTGTGCCAGGCCGGGTGGGCTGGAATGAGGGGTCCCATGAAAGGACAGCTGCAAGGACAGGCAGGCAGCTAGAGGCACCTTTGGGTCATCAGAGCAGCCAGAGGGAAGGGTGACAGCTGCCCAGAGCCAGGGACAGCCAGGATCCTCGGGAACCTTCTGCCTAGGCTAATGGCCACACTGCTCCAGCCCTGCTGCACACCAGGGGTTGGGGCTCTTGTCACAGTGACCACAACATTCATTCAACTAAACTAGCAAACTAAACTAGCAAACAAATGTAGCCGTGTTTCCTGGCAGATTAGTGGCCTGACATATTTTATTTATGTACTACCAGTGAGGATGGATTGAGGTGGGACATCTGATGGCTACTGCAATTAAGGTAGGAAACCAAGTTTCGAAAGAGATGGTGAATATAGGTTGAAGGTTTTCGATGTGTTTAAAAGAACCAGATTTCAAAACTATGGTAAGGACAGGAAACAGGGCTGAGGCGAGGTGTGGATTCCTGGGCACTGCTCTGCTTGAGGTAGGAGCCTGGCATAGGGAACAAAAAGCACAAGGAGAGTTTGATCTCCAGGAGGAGTGCGTTCAGCATAGCTCATTTCTAGCACTGTGTATTGAGCAGCATTTCTACAGCAAGAGCTATAATGGCAGAGCTACAGCATGAGTAGCATACACAGAACATTAAAATCTGCCTCTTAGCTGCATCTGGTACTCCAGCCAAGTCATTAGTTCAGTAAGAACTGCAAACTCAAATCATGCTGCTGATTTTCTTCTGCTTTTGGGAAGGCTTTGGCAAAACACAAGTGTTGTGATATCACATAAAAATTGTGGGAACTGGGATGTGTCCCAGCTACTTTCTTCTGTGAAGCAGAGCTTGTGGAGGGTCACAGAGAAGGCTGATTTTCTTGGCAGTCTGAGATTAGACTTGGATATTGCCAATAAGGCAAAGAGAAGGTGGCAGCATTTGGCTTTTGTGTCCCTCACCCTGTTGGGAGCTTTATAAATCCCTTGGAAAAAAATTATACTGGAACCAGAATTGAGGAAGGAGTTGTTTTGGCTTGTGAAGCCCTTGTGTAGGATTCTCACTTTGGCGTGACCCACCTGGTTGGTTGTATCATGTCAATTGCCAACTCCAAAAAAAAAGGAAATGTTGGGACCATGAATGTACATACAACTACTATGGCAGATTTATGGCAGAGCTGTGTGCAGCTTGCTGGAGACAGAGAAAAAGCATTTTTTAGAGACTCTTATTTTTTATGTTGGGGGTCAGTGAAGTCTGTGGCTAAAAAAATGAGCATTGCCTTCCTTGGCATTGGAGAAACATTTTCAGCTGACATTAAGGTGATGATTTTTGCCAGTTTGTTGTCTTTTCTTTTTCCACTTTGTATTCTTTAGGCTTTTGTGGAGGTTAGGCTGAGCCAATACATTGATGTCCAAGGACTCAGATGTCTGCATGGTATACATCACAGCTCTTAATTACACTGAGTGTGCAGGATGTAGTATTAACTATGAGACAAACAGAAGCCTGTCTTTTGAAACCTGACAACATAACTTGGATCTTGATATTAACCTGATCTACATTTGTGGGCTTCATAGGAAGAGTTGTGTCAAGGCCACACTGCTTCCAACTAGAATATTTTTTTACATGTTTCACATATGAAGAAATTCAACTTCACAAAAATGTCAAAATAGTAATGTCCCTATACACTATATCAATCTATTAAGACAAACCTCCGGGAAAGATAAATTACCTTTATTTTTACATGTTGCCACTGGTTCACAATTATATCTTTCAAGGAATAGTGAAATTTCTTGCTAGAAGAGCAAAGGCTGGGTTGATCTTTTTCAGGATGTTGCTACAAGATATTTTTATGCTATTTGAAGGAGATTTGTAAAAATGTTTCTAATGAGTTGTGCTGTACAAATCTTAATGTTATCCCTATTTAATCCTTATCAGATCAGATTAACAAAAGAAAGATTAGCTCCAGCATCAGGAAAAAATGTACTGCTGCAACACCATGCCACATTCTTTTATTAGGGCTCCAGTTTGCAATCTCTTCAAGGTGGAAAATATCTGGTAATGTTGAACTTGCCTTATTACTTTCTAACTCAGAAAAAACTTGCACTAGATCATATTTTTCCAAAAAGATATTCTGGAATTTATAATCACCCTCTACTCATTGTTGGTACCCAGCCATCCAATACCCACAGTGAAATTTAGCCAGCTCATACATCTATCTCTGTGTGTTAAAATCTTGAATTTACACAGCTGCTACTCAGCCTGAAATACTGATACCTAATCTTTTGACTTTGATAAGCTTCAGAAAATTAGGGAGTTGTGAAAAATTAATATTTATTCTAGAGTCTTTGTTCAGTCACTTTACATCCCTTTTAAATGACTGGGCAATCAGATAAAGTTATTAAAACTGGTATCATATAAATGTTAACTTTTGACAATTGCCTCTGGATTTCTTTAACTTTTGTGTGAGTCCTATGCACTTATTTCACAATATCAGTAAGCCAGAATGTAATTTGGATCATTTAACAGCCAAGGGCTTTGCCACATCATCAGATTGTTGGTATCTTTTATCCCCTTTGAAGGAATGAAAGGCAGTTTTCACATCTTTGTTGTCATTATGATCCAGCATGGCTGCTTCCTGCAATGAGCTCCCCAGCACCCTCTGTGCTTCATCAGCTGTGTCTTTGTGTGATGTGCTACTCTCTGAAGATTATTACTTCTCAGATCTCATCAGAGCTATGAAGAAAGCATTCCTTGTTCATCCATACGCTACAAAACAATGGGAACATATATGCAAAGACAAAATATCCTACTATTCATAGAAAGAAAGTTTAATTCCCATATTTTTCACTGTCCATGAGACTATTCACTAACAAATTAACAGGCAACTCCATGTTAAACAAAATTAACCACTTGTGCAGAACGATTTTTTGTTTTCTGGCATCTGACACTTGTCGCATCTCTCATAAGAGGTGATATTGATTCACTTATATTTGATATAGCTCTTGAAAGACAATGTTGGAATGACCCCATTAAATTCTTAGTTTGATTCTTTCTTTTCACAGATAATATATATGATTAATCAAAAATCTGTTTTTCCAAACCAGCTGTGCTATTCCTAGCAATGTGAGTGTTTCAGAAACGGAACCCACTGTGTTTGGGAATCTCTAGTGCAGGAAGATTTGGGGGTTTTATTGGTTAAGGCATAGCATAGTTTTCCACCTCCTGAGTTGCTTCTAGTTGTTGTCTCATAACTCGTGTCAAATTTATAGTTCATTAACAATCACAGCTTAGTTTGTGGTTTCTTTCC